GAACATTGAAATAAACATGCAAATTAAGGCAAAAAAGGATTTTCTACAAGAGGACCAGGGGAGGAAGTCAACTGAACTCCATCAAACCTGACAGAATTTGTTTGTCCATCAGCTGTGAAATATCTCCCATAGAATCTGTCAGATGAAGCAGCAGGGTATGCTGCATACAATACATCATTTTCCATTGAAGTAAAAATTATTTTTTACCCAACGAATTTCTTCCTTTTTCCCCTGCAATTGCTCCTCCATGCTTTTCGAATTCTGATATGCATGAGATTCACCCAGGAAGTGTGCTTAAATCCTTCAAGGATCCTGAGCTTGGATAGTGCTCATGAAAATGCCTTTTTAGCAGACACATTAGATGATTCTGCTGCAGGTTTCTGAGGATCATTCTCAAAAAACATTGTTGTAGAACATACCTACCTACTCTGTTTTCTTTTTTTCTTAAAGATAGAGGAGAGAGAGAGAGAGAGAGAGAGAGAATTTTTTAATATTTATTTTTTTTAGTTCTCGGCGGACACAACATCTTTGTTTGTATGTGGTGCTGAGGATCGAACCCGGGCCGCACGCATGCCAGGCGAGCGCGCTACCACTTGAGCCACATCTCCAGCCCTACTCTGTTTTCTTGAGATGGCCTTTTYGAATGTGCTTCTCATAATATTTGAAGATAGCTCTAGTTTTGGTTTGGTTTTGGTTTTGGTTTTGTTCTGGTTTCGGTTTTGGGTGTGTGTAAGATACTGGAGATTGAACCAGGGGATTCTCCACCATTGAGCTACATCTTCAGCCCTTTTTTTTTTTTTTTTTTGAGATAAGGTCTTGCTAAATTTCTAAGTCTGGCCTCGAACTTGCCCTCCTTCTGCCTCAGCCTCCCAAGTTACTGGGATTACAGGTGTGCCCTGGCTCGATTTTTATTTGAATCAGTCTTAGTGCTCTTGGTGGGGTATATTTTCTTTGCTTCCAAGATAATATGCTATTTCTTTTCTTCCCACTCAAATCTCACAGGACAGACAAGGAACTATTTTCATATTATATGAACACCTGAAGAGAGACAAGCTGGGCATGCTGTGAGTATGGCGTGTGTCTAYGGGATGGATAAGCAAAGAAAGTGACTATCACATCCATCAAGAGTGGTGCTTCTCATGCACTTGAGTCACCATGTCCATTTATTGGAAGTCTATCTTGTTTTATTTAGATCTTCAGGTATTTCATAAATGTGTTGGTCAAGATTTATAAATATAATATCTATAATCAAAGGTTAAGAGCCTACATTTAACACATTCCACTCAAGCAAGGTGCAACAAAATCTATTCACATGGGATCAGCTCAGATGTCCCAAGGATTGCCCTTCTTGCATGCTTTGAAGAGTGCTCAGGTGATTTGGCAAGTGTTCCTCCAAAGGGAGGGTCAGATCCAATTTCTCCCCTGACATAGTCTTCTCAAGGTATGTGTGCTGGGCAGCACCCTGTTGGAAGTGATCTTTGCTCTCATCAATCCTCTTGAACTTGTGCAAATGTTCTGGTTTTTTTCCCTTTGCATCTAAAACGTGGCTACAATTTCATCTAACGTTTGAAGTCTTAGATGTTTCTCATCATCCAGGAAGAGGAGAACTGGGGTGTTGAGTCCTCCACTCCAGTCTCCACTCAGGCCCACCCAGAAATGAGACCGCCATCTATAATGTCCCAGCTAGCATGCATTGCCCAGGTGTTCACTTCTAGGGTGACACCTCTGGACATGCCTAAGGGAGGAACTACCCTTGGCTTCCTGGCGATGTTCAGTCCCATAGCTCTCTCCCTTTCCTGACCCTTCCCCTGCCATGTTCTCTCCAAAGTAGTCCCTATGATGCTAGGGCTGTGGCTGGACATGAGTCACAAGCAGTTACTGTGACTAGGAGAACCAAGCTGTCAACTGGATTTGAACTGGCAAGCTGATAAGAAGTTTCTAGAGACACAGTCTAATTAAGCAGGAAAGATTCAAGATCCAAGCTTATGTCTAAGCTCAGGAATTCTGACGAATGGGTTTGTTAAGTACAAGAACTAGAAATGAGAATGCAGAGATATGACCTTTGTCTTCCTGGGCATCAGATAGCATAGAAGGTCAAGTGCAGAGGAAAGGGTGGGCTAGGACTGAAACCACACAAACCTTCACGCACATGAGATAAGGAAGGGAGGGGCGAGCTCCCTTCAAGTGATAGGTGGGCCTAATCCAGTCCCAGGATGCAGGTGTGGGGTCATCCCAAGAGGCACCCAGTTCACAGCTGAGAGTCAGGAAGGGAGAGCCTGACCATAGGAGCACAAAGTGGGTGCCACTTTTGGAGACCCAAGCCAGCAGGGAGATGGCATGAAGAAAGTCTGTTGAAAGGTGACAGAGCCCAGCAGACCAGGGCAGGACTGGCATCCCAGAATTGATGGGATGACCCTGGGGACAGTGTTAACAGGGCAGAGACAGAGTTCCTGAGGCGGCCTCAAGAAAACTGATGCTGCTGGGTCCTTGGGCATAGAGGGGCCAGGTAAGAGGAAAACTGTAACAGAATTTAGGAGACAGAGAAGAAGAGATATGAGCAAAGGAACCCCCCCCCTCACCAAGCCGCCTTTTCTACTGTCTTCTGCCTATTAWTCTCATCCCTTAATGCAATCATGCAGCCAGAGAGTGCTAGGGCACTCACCACACGGCAAAGTCCACACCGAGCCTCGTATAGGGAACTGGTACATCACGCAGAGATGATGGGCCTGTTGCCCCTACTTGTGCAAGTTTGTACAGAATTTGCTAGTGTACTTTTGTGAATATTAGAAAAGATTCCAGACTGTTCTGGAATTCTCACTTGCATCTAGCCATGCCTTCTCGAGTGTGAGATGAAAGGGCAGAATCACTGCACCTTTGTTAGGCCTGGTGGTGAGATGTGAACACAGGCGTTTGAGAACAGGTGATTTAACAGACAGTGGGACCGCCCAGGGGACCACCCAAGTTTATAGAACCCATGTTGAAAAGAAATCATGAGTCAATAGAAACTTTCCTCCGAGCACCTTAATTTTTCTGGAGCTTCTTAATTTTACAGGAGGCTTCTCTGGAGATTGCTGGGCTTTTTTGGCTTTATTGCAGTCAGGTGGTACCAGGGGGACAGCATGCACCTGCTGCTGCCTTAGGAAAGGTGAGGGGCTCCAGGAGGGGACAACTTTATAGACCAGGTGTAATTCAGCTTTTCTGGGATAACTTTCTACTATCTGCAGGCATTCTGGGATATTTCTGAGAAATAGTGAAATTGGAAGAGAAATTTTAAGGAAAGGGAAATGAAAGGATCTCCAGAAATGAAGGAATTAACAGGACCCTGCTACACACACACACACACACACACACACACACACACACACACACACGCGCGCGCGTTTGCGCCCCCCCCCACACACACACCTGTAATTTCTTTTGAGAATAGGTCTCTATTTTTATTCTATGTATGAGAAGGATGTGGGGAGCTTGGTGAAATGACATAGTCCTGCACCCCCAAACCAAAGATGTTGGTTTTGTTAATCCTGGGTGAAGCCCAAGAATCTGTTTAAAGGAGAAGGAGAAGGAGAAGAGAAGCACCACCACCACCTGGGGGTTTAATTCGTACTGACCCTGTGGTAATAAAACACAAGTTGCTCTTCAAAATTGCTGCCTGAAGTTGCCTTTGGCTATTATTTATTTTCTGAAAGGAAGCAGCATTAGTGTTTAGCAGCTTCGAGGAGTAAGCCATCTTGGATTTTGGTAATGTCACTCAAGAAGTCCAGAAGCACTGACTTAGTCCGGTTCCCTCATTTCAGAGAAAGGAAATGAAGACCTAGAACACTTAAGTACCTTCCCTCAAAGTCACACGGTCAGTGGCAGGACAAAGAGCCCTGGGCTCCTGTCCTAGCACCTGGGAGTTTTGATGTGACCCTGACCCAAGGGAAATCCTGAAGAGGCTGGAAGGCAGCCACTTCAAAAGGGACCAAAGCCCTAGACTCTTAGGACTTAACTTTTGGCAACAACCAGGAGAAAAGCAGTCCCAGGTATTTGGGCAGTTGCCTTAAGAGGCAGCTTTTTAAAAAATTGTCCCTTCTCAAGTCAGTACAATTAAAAAGAAAAATCAATCCATTCACTTAATTTATTTTTTTCATTTAATGGAGTTTTTTAAAAATCACCAGAAAAATAACCTGGAGTTTTGTTTCCAAATGAAAACATAAGCAATCTAGTTGTCTAGAGTGTTTTCCCACCATACTATAATGCTACAGGATGTTTTTTCTCTGAAACCTTCTTAAAGTGGCCATTCTGCTTTGTAAAGACAGCCATTCATGATTGGGCCCCCATTCTCCCTCAGCGCAAGTTCAGCAATTTCATAAGCAGCAGGAATCACTTGTACGCATGACATAAACAATAAACCCCAGTCAGAAGTCTCCAGAATCCAGAGAAACAAATTTCTCTTTGGACAAGGAAAGTGTGAGGCATGAATGATACTTAGCAGCAATTCTCTTTAAACAGTTTTTCATTTTATTTATTTTATTTTTTTTAAAGAGAAAGTGAGAGAGGAGAGAGAGAGAGAGAGAGAGAATTTTTAATATTTGTTTTTTAGTTCTCAGCGGACACAACATCTTTGTTGGTATGTGGTGCTAAGGATCGAACCCGGGCCGCACGCATGCCAGGCGAGCGTGCTACCGCTTGAGCCACATCTCCAGCCCCTAAACAGTTTTTTAAATGAGTTAATACTACTGTCCTAGCTCAGTAGTAGCCTTTTGCTAGAAATGACTAAACCTATTGCTATCATCTGCTAAGTTGATTAATAAAAAAAAAATATTTATTACGCAAACCCTTTTTGTTGACAAGTTAAAATGGAGCCTCATCTTTCATATCTCCCTGAAGATTGCCACCTTGTGAGATTGAAAATACTCATTAAATTCCATCACCAGACKCACAAATGAGAGGGCGATTGTTTTCAAGCATGTGAGGGGAATCGTTGGTAAACTCATTTGTTTGGATATCATTAACAGAACAATCGGTGTGGATCTCCAGGGGGTCCTCATGACCTTTGCTCGCAATCTCTTCATCATCCATCAAGAAATATCAACACCTAATATGCAAGGCGAGACCAATTTTAAGGTGAGGTGTTAATTAACTAACGATCCTGGTTAATTTCTATACAAGGGCTGAAAATACCTCATGCTGTATTGTAAACAAGTGCTAAACCATCTCTTTTTTTATTGTAAGCAGTACATATTTTACAATGTGCTGGGTCAATATTGTAAGGTTCCCACTGAACCTGTTAGTTAAATTTTATAGTTTGAAACTTTTTCTTTGAAATATAGTAGGCTTGCTTTAACTTGGTGCCATATTCGAACCCCAGKTCTTGCGACAACAGCTTTCTGATGCTGGAGGTGAAGCTGAAACATCACAGTAGAATCAGAAGAGAGACTGTCCCAGCCAAAATTTGTGAATGTGACCTCTCTGTTTCAGACAATCTGTTGTCTAGGGAGCAATTCCTAGAGAGCCCCAGTTTGTAGAGCCAAAGAAGTCCTAATGCCTAAAAGGACAAATTGTTTTAGGCAGAGGCAAGAAAAAAGTCCCAGCTATATGTGGGCTGTCCAGCCCCCACGATTCCCTCAAAGTGGGGTGAGTGTTTCCCCACTCACCTTATTGAAGCCTCCATGTGGCCTCTAAAGATGTTCCTTGAAGTCCAGTTGTGGGTGACTGACTAGAAGTTTCCACATTCTACAGTCCAGGAACAAGACCTGTGAGGGAGTTTTTAAGATCCCAGCTGAACAGAGATGACGGCTCAGTATCAACCAGTAAGGTCTGAATCTGATTCCCAGGCTGGACCTTCATTGCGTTTGAATGAGTCAAGTGATTCAAAGGACTCAATTAGAAATCACATAAGTTTTTCTCTTACGGCCCAACTAAAGCTTGATAAAAATGTAATTTTTATTACATTTTTTAAATTCAAGCTGGAGCCTGCCCTCTTTAATAACAATGATGAGGATAACTACATTTTACTCTTCAAAGTGATATTAAAATCTGGGACGATGACCATTGCTTTTCCTACAACATGATAGAGAGGATTCCAGAGGGAGAAATCTAATAGTGAGTCAGGAAGCCAGAGTGGGGAGGGGCCAACCGGTTCTTCTATTTTATAGCTAATAAGTTGAGCAAGGTTGCAGGACATAAGATCAATATACAAAAACCAGCTGACCTTCTATATACTAGCCATGATGGATTTAAAAAATAAAATACAAACCATTATGGTTGGATCCGGAACATCTCCCAAAGGCTCAGGTGTTGGAGGCTTGATTCCCAGGGCAGTAGGGTTCAGAGAGGGCCTTTGGGAAGTGATTGGATCTCAAGGCCTCGGAGCTCATCAGTGGATGAATCTAMTGATGACTTCATAAGTTGATGGCAATATTAGCAGGTGGTGGAAACTACAGCTGGTGGTGCCTAGCTGGAGGACGTAGGTCACTGGCAATGAACCCTGGAAGGGTATATCTTGTCTTTGACCATCCCCCAGCTTTGCTGCCTGGTGGCCATGAGGCCCTGCTCATGGTGTCCCGCCCCACCTCAGGCCGAAAGCAACAGGACCATGGCTGAAGCCTCTGAAACCATGAGCTAAAATAAATATTTCATTCTCTACCTTGTTCTTCTCAGGGATTTTGTCCCARTGACAAAAAGCTGAGTAACACACAAACCACTTCAAATTACAATAGTATAAAAAAGATGAAAAATTTATGGGTAAAGTACAATACTGATGCACTAAAAACTTCTAAACATTGGTGAAATTAAAGAATACCCAAAAAAGTGGGAGGATATTCTATGCATGTAGAAGTCTATTATATTTCTAAGTTTGCAATATTTCCCAAATTGATCTATAGATTTAATGCAATTTCTATCAAAATTTCATCTGACTTTTAGTAGAAATTGACAAGATGATCCTAAAACTTGTGTGAAGAGGCAAGGGACTCCGAATAGTCAAAATAAGGGGAACAAAAAATTTCTCAATTTCAAAGCTTACTACAAAGCTCAAACAATCAAGATGGTGTGGTACTGGCACAAGAATAGGCATACCGATCAATAGAATAGGATTGAAAGAAGACTAAAAATAAACCCATACATGATGATTAATCGATTTTCAAAAGGGTTCCCAGACAATTCAACAGGGGTAGAATGCCTTTTTAATAGAGGGTAGTGGAACAAATGGATAGTCATATCCAAATAATAAAGCTGGACCTTTGCCTGACACCACATTCAAAAAATAAGTCAAAATGGATCAAAGACCTGACTGAAAGAGCTAAAACTATCAAACTCTTAGAAGAAAACAGTGTTGTAAATCATCATGATCTTGGATTAGCAATGGTTTTAGGTAAGATGCCTAAAGCATAAGCAACCAAAGTATATATAGATAAATTGGATTTCATCAAAATCAAAAGCTTCTATTTGCCAGGCACAGTGACACATGCCTGTAATCCCAACGGCTCAAGAGGCTGAGACAGGAGGATCGTGAGTTCAAAGCCAGCCTCAGCAACAGTGAGGCACTAAGCAACTCAGTGAGACCCTGACTCTAAATAAAGTACAAAAATAGGGCTGGGGATGTGACTCAATGGTTGAATGCCCCTGAGTTCAATTCCCAGTACAAAAAAAAAAAAAAATCTTCTGTACATCAAACAACACTGTTAAGAAAGTGGAAAGACCACCTAAACAATGAGATAAAATATTTGTAAATCATAAAGATCTAGCATCCACAGTATGTAATGTACTCTTATACCTTAAGAAAACACAGAATATCCAGTTAAAAAGTGAACAAACAATAGACATTTCTTCAAAGAACATATACAAATGGCCAATAAGTAGATGAATAAATGCTCAACATCATAAGTCATTAGGGAAAAGCAAATCAAAACCACAACAAGATACCATTTATACCCACTATGATAGCTTTAATTTAAAAAGACAATAACAAATTGGCAAGCACATGGAGAAAATGGAAACTATAAAACTCATACATTGCTAGTAAGAATGCAAAATAGTATCACAGTTATGTAAAGTTTGGTAGTTCCCCAAAAAGTTAAATGCAACTGGGTGTGGTGGTGCACACCTATAATCCCAGTGGCTCAGAGGCTGAGGCAGGAGAATTGTTAGTTCAAAGCCAGCCTCAGCAATTTAACAAGACTCTAAGCAATTTAGCGAGAAGCTGCCTCAAAATTTAAAAAATTAAAAGACTGTGGATGTGGCTTAATGGTTAAGTGCCTCTAGGTTCAATCCCTGGTACCAAAAAAAAAAAAAAAGTAAAATGTAAAATTACTATATGATCTAGCAATTCCACTTCTACATAYACACCTGGGAATATAGAAAATACAAAAATATGCACATTATGTTTATCAAACCATGATTCATAAAAGCCAAAAAGTATAAACCATCCAAATCATTGACTGGGAAATAGATGAATTCCTTTATAGTATATGSACAATGTTCATACAACAGAATATTATTCAGTCATAAAAAAGGAATGAAGTACAATAATCTGTGCTGCAATATGGATTGACCTGAAAACATGGGAAGTGAAAAAAAGCTGGTCATAAGAGGACAAATACTGTACGACTGCAAATATATAAAGCATGAGAGGTAAGCAAATCCATGGGCACAGAACGTAGGTTAGTGTTTACCAGAAAGTGGGGGAAAGGTAGAAAATGGGAAATGACTGCTAACAGGTACAGGGTTTCTATTTGGAGCAGTGAGAATGTTCTGAAATTACACAGTGTTGAAGGCTGGTATTTACCAAATACCACTTAACTATATACTTTATAAAGGTAAACGTTATGGTAACTCAATAAAAAATAATTAAAGGACTGGGAGTGGGCTCAGTGGTAGAGTACTTGCCTAGTATGTGTGATTCCCTGGGCTTGCTCAATCCCTGGCATCACCAACCCCCACCCCCCCGACTCTGCCACCACAGAACCCAAAAGTTAATTAATTAATTAATTAATTAATATGGGAAGGTGTTATTTTACTCCCCAAAGACCAATAGAAATAAGCTTTCCCGGGGCTGAGGCTGGGGCTCAGCGGTAGAGCACCCACTTAGCACGTGCAAGACACTGGGTTCGATCCTCAACACCACGTGAAAATAAATAAATAAAATAAAGATATTGTGTCCAACTACAACTAAAAATATATTTAAAAAAAAAGAAAAAAAAATAAGCTTTCCCTTCAGTTTGCTGGACATCTTTATAGGATGACCAGACCAAACTTCTCAAATTATCTGTAGTAAAGAACTTATTTGTGGGCTGGGTTGTGGCTCAGTGGTATAGCACTTGCCTACCACATGTGAGGCACTGGTTCAATCCTCAGCATGACCAAAAAAAAAAATAATACAGTTATAAAAAAATCTTATTTGTTTTGTTTTGTTTCTGACATATCATGCATTAATATACTTATGTAAAATACAACAAAATTGAATTATCAGAAGAATGAAGTAAAAAAATTTAAGCTATAAAAAATGTAAACTTACTTTATGATCCAGCAATTCCACTCCTGAGTAGTCCTGATTACCTACTTGAGAATACTGAGTTTGCATTGGTTAAGAGACTAATCAGAGCAGATTATAATGTTTTCATTATTAAATTTAATAAACAAATTTCTAGGAAGTTTTCTGACTTCTTTTAATTTGGRTTTTTTTGGGGTTTTTTGGTATTGAGGATTGAACTCGGGGGCATTCGACTGAGCCACATCCCCAGCCCTATTTTGTATTTTATTTAGTGACAGGGTCTCACTGAGTTGCTTAGCATCTCACTTTTGCTGAGGCTGGCTTTGAACTCACGATCCTCCTGGCTCAGCCTCCTGATCTGCTGGGAGGAATGTGCCACCATGTGTGGTTTTACTCTCAAATTTTTTACTCCTTTCAGCAAGACTGATAGCAAATAATCCATAGATGGGTACAGGTCAGAGCAACACACTTTGAACAGAACCAGTCCAAACCGTACTTAACTCCACAAAGAAACAAAGGCTTGAGGGATTAGTGTTTGTAAGAGGTCTTTAAGTGATGAATGTTTTTTTTTTTTTTTAATTTACCAAGTATTTTTTATTAGTTACTGTC